CGCGTGTGCGCGCGTTTCTCGAATTCTTGAAAGGCGTTTCACACCACGTTTCAGTGTTCCACGAGGCGAGACACCGCGTCCTTCTTTGTCCTCGACCCCTATTTTTGCGCAGAATCTCGGGTTTGTTACACCGCGAAAGTCGTGAGAAGACGAAACGGTACGTTTCGAGTAGAAGGTTGTCGGATTTGGCCTATGCCTGCTACCTGGGTAACCGGAGAACCTGCTGAAACTGCCCTGAATCCGCTCGTTCCTCTTGCATTGGTCTCTCTCTCCTTGTGAATTCGTGCTCGCTTCTGGAAACGAGTTATTGAAGTGGCCATTGCACAAATATTATCGTTATTGTTATTATTAATTAGAAAGATATTTTTTTTTCTGTTATAAAATAAGGAATTAGGCTTCAGTTTGAGATTTTTAGAAAGCGTAATCAATGTGTAACGATGATAAATAATAGTTGTTCACAAGGATGTGAGTTTTTAAGTTCTAAGAATCTTTAATCGAGATTATTTTCTATTTTTGTTCATTTGTATAATGAATTTCATAAAACTATTATTATCGAATCTAATTACCAACAATGAGTGTCTAATGTAGAATGTTCTGTTTGGAAAAGAAATTAATGTAACTTGCTAAAGATATTTACTTGTGCATTTTTAATTTGAATTGGCATTCTAATACTATGATTTCTATTCTAAGTAATTATAAGAAATCATAAGAAGAAATGTGTGCATTAATAATTTATAGTACTCTGTAATTTTTTTCCCTTCTGCATATTATTATTTCGAATAGTTATAATTTTAATTTATGTATATAACAATCGTGCGAACTTTAATAAAAAGCAAAAATATAATGTAAAATGAAAATTTAAATTTTCAACTTCTTTCAAGCGATGTATATATTAATTTCAATTCAAAGATTTCAAGCCAACCAAGTAAAACCGTTCGTTGAATTTTCCGCTCTCATAAAGCAGTACATCATATCCGAAGTACAACACAGCATATCTAAGACTTCATCCGCGAAAACCGCCTAACACTGTTTTTCCTTGTGGCTTATCGGCATATAATTTCTAATTACGTCGCTCCACCGCC